CACAAACAACAATGCAGAATATTAATAACTATGACTTGGACTGTCATATACATAACATTATAATGAGAACACTATTACAATAAAACGCTGTGAATTTTTAGAGTTTAGTTGCCGTGTTCCTGCACGTTGTTGCGTGAAGAACGCATCCACAAAAGGAGTTCATTCAGAAACAGCAGACGGGGCATTTCGTGCAGATAGCCTATAAGTCGTAATATTAAAGGTGCAGTAGGAGATCTTGGAAAATGCTGGGCTACATCATGTGTCATTCACCAGTGAGAAAACTTTAAAAGATCGGGTTGTTGATGTTTGTCTACCATTCTCGCTGTCTCACCACTTAACTTAATGATTGCTATCGGGATGTGAAGAGACTTTCAACCAGCATTACAAAAAATGTTTCTGAAGACAATCACCTATTGCACCTTTAACGTTATGTTGTATAAATAACGAAGCACATTGTATATGAGATAAATGATGAGTTAAATCCCATTGATTAAAAACCTGCTATCAAATACTTCATTCTACTGGTCATTTTCAGAGTGCGCTGCTCAAAACAGAAATGCAGAACATTAATAACTACTGTCATATACATAACGTTATAATGAGAGTACCATTAAAAAAATTTTGTGAAATCTTAGGGTTTCGCTGATGTTTAATGTTAACTACCCTTTAATCAAAACATTATTTTTGTATCTGCGAGGCGTCCGTTAGCTACACATTTTCCCTGTGCGTCAGTAATGATGGCTGTCGAATGTCTGACTTGACTTTTGTTAATGTATTTTGCCCCCCGCCCCCAAACATATGATTCGACTATCGGCAAGATTCGAAAATTCCGATTTGACTATGAAAATCCTTAGTCGGGGACACCCCTAATATTTATAATCCACTGCTTACTGACATAGCCTTTTTTACAGTATAGAATATATTTTCTGTGATAAGAAGCCACATTAGATCACAAGATTAAGTTATTTCAAACACTTGACTGATGTTGTGGAGTAAAGGCATGTTATGATGTTCTCTTTTGTTGGACAGCAGGTTTAGAAACGCTTCTCATTTCAAATGCATGTTATTAGCGGGGAGGCACTTCCTCATCTCAGCACATAGGCTTACGGACACAGAGAAACATGGCCAGTTCTGAGATAAATAAAACGCACGGTAATTATTTAAACAAATCCAATAAATAAATAAAATGACTACTGTACTGTGCTCGCTTAAGAAATCAGACAGCGGGAGTGGAAGGGGAATCGAGCGGGATTTTGTGTTGCTGTCGATTTGCAGTCTCTTTTTAATGACAGTCCTTCCGCAATTGTCAATCCTCCCCACTTGCTATTTGGGGAATGAACCCAGCACTCTGTTTGGTCGAACTCTTCTACTTTTGCTGTTGCTTGATTTGAGTACTGCACATGCACAGAGGCCTCACCAGGTTTTTGCGTATTTAAGTGACAAATCGTACCAGTGCACTTTGAGATTAAAATGCATACCCGCTATGCAAAATGCGTACAGGTTGGCAGGTCTGTAATTGTTACTTCAGATGTCATTTGTAATGTTTATGGTCTTTTCAGGCAAGATAAGCATTAGGGTTCATTTAAACACGATTCAGAAACCGGAAGTAGTGCAGCTGCTTTGTTTACAGGGTTTCCGGGGTAACGGCTGCATTTAAATGAATTATTATTATTAATTATTATTATTATAGCAGCGCCATCTGCTGTCAGAGAGTGAAAGTGCGCTTTCATCCAGAGGGTCTCTCACATGCTCCACCATGTGCTTCTCGTCCGCGCTTGTTTACATCAGAGTGTGCAAGCCTCTTTCATGCAGCATACAGCGGTGTTGTGCATTTTGACCAGTTGATGGGAAAAGTATTCTTAAAATGCATTCAAAATTCTGAACAATTTGTAATATATAATTATTCACGGTATTTAGAAGTGCCCACGATAACAATATCGTGCATATTCATAACCGTGATATATCGCATTACCGAATACCGGCACAAGTCTAATAAGCATATACTGAAATCATTATGGTGAAATAGTTATTTTATTTCCTGATTGAACAACATCTATTTCAGACTCAAGACCGCGCAAATACTATGGCATTTTACTAGCATAGGTGTTTTGTATATGTTGTCAAATTATTTATTACTTTAACCTCCATTTAAATCACTAAATGCTTCAAAATGCATTATAATGCATAATAAAATTGTTGAAACATTTGCAGTTAGTCTACAGTACGAATAAATTCAATATTGCAAATAGGGATGTAACGGTATGAAAATTTCATATCACGATTATAGTGACCAAAGTTATCACGATTATCAATATTATCACGGTTTGTTAAAATTAGATGAAAACGTTCAAAAAGAACTGATACACACACTGAAAACTCTCGTGCAAAAAAAAACAACAACAACATTGCATGCTGCTTCTGCGTCAGACTGATGCTGGCTGGACAGGATTTACCGCGAGTTTTCAAAATCGCGATAATCAAACACGGTTTTGATGATAATTAAATTTTAAACGCTAATACTAACCGTCAGGGCATTATATCGTGATTTATCGTGAAACCGGTAATCGTTCCATCCCTAAATGCAAATCAACAGAACTACATAACCACAGTGAATAACTGCAGGCGAACTAAGATATATGTGCCTATGTTTCAAAGCATAAATCTTTATTCTAATTTCAGAATGCACACCTTGACATTTGTAATATATGAGTTGAGAAGTCTCACCCATCCGCCAAACTGATGTTCGCTAATGAAATGAATATGAATGTAACTTTAATAACCAGCAGAAATTCCCGACATTAAACAAATAACCATTTACATGCTTAGGATATTTGTATTGAAAGAATGTACAGGGAGACTTCAGATATAAAACACTGACTCATCAGGTGATGTTTTCAAACTAAAATCGTATGATTTCCTATTAACTCAACAGAACGTATGGGGCATACTAGGGAATAGCAACATGGGGGAACAATGAATTCACTTTTTATGACATCAATAGATCCGTGATTCTGACACATCAGATTTTTCAGATTCAGTCCCACATTTTAATATGGTCCGTCACTGGTCCTTTGCAGTGTGCTTAGCAGCATGAAAAATAAAATGTTTATTCTAATTAAGAGTGGCAAAGTTTCAAACAAAAAGCATGCAAAGATCACTCACTATATAATCAATATGCTGATATCACTTCAGTTCACCCACAGTGCAAGCTGACTGAGTGAACTGACCGAGTGAAAACTCCAGTTACAATCAAACAAATCTGTCTATACTGCACAATGAATCTCTTGTTTAAATTGTATTTATAACTCTGGCATATTGAGCAAATTCTGAATTACAAGTAGTGCTGGCCGGTAAAATTTATATCACAGTATTTCAAAATTATACCGGTTTCACGGTACATGACATTTTTTTTTCATGCATGACCGGA